ACAAATTGGACTCACTGGTTTATAAAAATAAAGACACCAATTTGGGAGGTGGTAGAGAGGTAGGAGGAGTTAAGGGGAGGAGGGTGGTATGAATATGAGAGAATTTTCAAAGAATTAATAAAAATATTACATTAAAAAGTGAAACACTATTTTGTTCCTTTAAAGTATTGGCAATAGGTTATTGCAAGTTGGTTCCTCATGCCTTCACTGACAAAAACCCTTTGATGGACTTTTGTAGGAAACAGATAAGAATGTTTGGCTAGGGTCACTTCAGTATATCATAAATGAATGATGCCAAAGGACTCTGACCAAGAGCAAAATGAGGGAAGAAAAGTATATAATCATTTGTTTTTTAAACAAGTCTTTGGAACCTTTTCTATTTTATTTGCAGTGTTGAGCATTGAACTTGGGGCTTTGCACACACTAGTTAAGTGCTCTAACACTGAACTATGCCCCTAGATCTGGAAATCACATTTTATTTGCATGATTTATTTTGCCTTTCTAGCAAGCTAAACAAAGTCCAGCTCCCCCTGACATAACAATAAAAAACTGAAAATTAATGAGGTTTTCTATATATGACTTCTCTTGTAATAGAAAAAGGATAACTGACAAAAGATGGACATTTTTTAGCTAGACCCAATATTACAAGTTTTGTAGATTGTTTTATGATCTTCTCATTCATAGATTGTAGCAAACCATTTAAACCCTGCCCCTTCAATTTACTAGTTTTGTTATTACCTACCTGAATGTCAGCTCCTCATCTATTAAATATTATCATATCTTTATCATTAGGCTCTGGTGAAGACTGAATTAAACTGATCTATGTAGAATGGGAGAGACAGCTCAGCAGTTAAGAACACTGCTTCCTCTTGCAGAGGACTGATGTTCAGTTCCCAGCACCCACGTGGCAGCTAACAACCATCATGTAACTCCAGTTCCAGGGGATCTGACACCCACTTCTGGCCTCCGGAGGCATTGTACGCACAGGTGCACTTACATACATGCAGAAAAACACTCATATACACAAAGAAATAAAAATAAATAATATATAAATATAAAGGGATTGAAACAGAGCTTCATACTTAATGAACTCATAAAATTGTTCATTATTTTGATTATAGTTGCAAGAAATCTCTTGGCAGGTTCAACATCTGTGCCTGGCTTCTCCAAGAACACAGTTTTGTTGGATAGACATTTAGGCCTTTATTATTCTAACACATCTATATGTATCAATAACTCTTATTTATATAAGCTAACCATGTCCTTTCTTACCCTTGTATTTTTTCTTTTACGGTGTTTGAGGTAGAACCCTGAGCCTTGAGTATGTTAGGCAAGCACTGACCTACAACCTTAAACCTTCATGCATATATTTTAAAAATCAACATGGCTGTTAACATACTGTGACTCACATTGTGTTTCTATTACGTTATTACGTATTAATAGTCTGTTATATATTTAATTTTACCTTGATACCAAACATAGAACTTTGCAGCTACTGAATGCTCACTACCACTCTGTTAAATAAATTTCATCTGTCGGTGGATTAACTGCTAATGCATATCTTGGTAGTATTGCTGGTTGTATGGACCTTCAGTAAAACCTCTGTCCCCAGACTCAGATGGAAAAGATGTTCTTTAGTCCTGACCTGAATATGCCTTATACATTGCATCAAACTTTAGGTTTCATCTCACAGGAAGCACAGTGCAATCCTGTGCAGAGTAACCATTAAGGTTGAGGTGGAGTATGTGGACATTATCCATCTCTTGCACAGGAAGTGGTCATAACTTTGCAATTGTCCTTGGGTTTCTTACAAAGGTTTCCGAAAGGAGGTGGAACAGAATGAGGAGGGAAATGAAAAGTGAAAAGGTGCCTTCCTCATTCTTACATAGAGGTAAATTAAGCTAAGGAATGTGGAAAATTTAGGCGAGATCTTCATTTGCTTATGCACTTATTCATTTACTCTGCTGACAGTTCTAGGGCAAACCATTTTTTTCCCTTGCCTTGCGAAGACCGCGAGGGATCAGGAATAGTCCTTACTTTGGATTACCAAGAGAGATAGATATGTAAGGGCAGTATAGACAACTGATTTTGCTGGAGGTTCTCAATGAAGAATTTCCAAAGACAGACAGCATCATTTTTATCTCTCTTATTTAAGACAGAGTTAAAATCTTATTTTTTGAGACCCTTTCTTATTTTCATCTAGTCTGTCACTGGTCCTGGACGAATCCTTCATATATTTTCTACACTTCTAATGGCACTTTATACCTCTGCCAAATTGTCACATCTATAGATGCATACAGTTCCTTCCACACATTCCTATCTCCCTTTTTCCTGGCCTGAGACTCCTTGAGTCTCATATGGTGATTGTGGCTCACCTAGAACATGATTGTTTAAGGTCACATAAAGAATGAATTGTAGCGCTGAATCTATAACCCCAAGGCTATAACTTAGGGTCTAAGACACAATGTTTCTGTCTCAGTGTTCTTTCAATTCTAGTACTGAGTGAATAAATTAATATATCTACAGAGTGTTTCCTTGTCAGCTCTGACCTGCTCACTTTTCTCTCTTAATCACCTTCCTTCCTAAACATAGCAATGGCAGACAACACCTAAAATATGAAACTCTTTGATTTTTCATTGCTCTGAGCAGTAACTCAAACAATAGACTTTAATAAAAGAAGAGGTCCCTTTAGCTGGGCGTGGTTACACATCCATGTAACCCCAGCACTTGGGAGACTGAGGCAGGATGATTGCTTCAGTTTGAGTTTGAGTAAGGTCCTGACAAGCCTGGGCTATAACATGCTTCTGGAGTGTAGAAGAACTCTTAGAGTTCAATGCCCTTTGCTCCAGTTCAGATACTGTATATAACAGATGGCATGATTTCTCTTCATTTTTCTCACCCTTAATAGTCTCTTTCATGGGCCTTTTATTGTGCTCAAAATGGACATGATTAATTACTCTTTTGGTGAAGATATTCTTTCCAGAAGATTCTTGTTTAAAAGCTAGTGGAGAAGAATAGCAATATAGCTCAGCAATTTGAACACTTGCTTAGCATGTGTAAGGCCATGACTTCAAAATACCTAACATCACAAAAAGGAAAAACAAAAAAGAAAAACTACTAGAATACCTCAGCTGATAGAGCAGACAGAAAGGAATGGTTTGAAGAAGTTACTCAATCTTTGTAGCGTGAGCTGAGAGAATGGAGTCTCTTCTTAGCAACGTGTTCACAGGACTCTTCCTTCCACTCCAAGCTTAGTCAGAAATGGAAAACAAAACAAAACAAAACAAAACAGGAATTGAATCTTTCTAGAAGCCAGATCTGGAGAATCTGGTCTCAAGGCCTAAGCCAATAATTATTTTTATTTTTGTAGGAGGAAGTTGTTTGCAGAGTAGTGTGCATGCAAATCGATCTCTATTCTAGGCTAGCTCCAAAACTTTGGGTCCAGTAACCACAGGAAAGCACACATTGAATAAGGAGGAGCAGGGACAGAGTCATTCATACAGGACTCAGGGAATGTTTGAGTTTGAAAGGCTAAGATCAACTTCTCCCAGCTCTGCTGTTTTTATGAGAAATCAAGACACAGAGAAGGAATAGAGTTGAGACTAAGACCCAGTGCTTCAACTCTTAGGATGTGGTCATTTTGCTTGAGTCGCAATTTATAAGACTTTATGTAATGTGGGTAGAGTATTCACAGAAGCTTGAGTGTTGCTACGGGCCTTGTTTCCATTGTTGTAGGCTAAGGGCCCTGACCTTGGTACTGTCACTGAAACCTATTTAAAATATATACTGAATGCATCACAGGACTTTCCCTCCTCTTATTCTCTTTGTCATTAGAATTCATGGTAGAAGGTCCATAATGAGAATCCATGGTCATTTCTGGTTCTGAATAAAGACTTCTAAGGGATTATAAACACAAAGACTAGGCTACTACTCATTGTTATCGTATACTCTTCAATTCCCTTTCTAATCCTGAAGGTCAAGTTGAACTCAGGGCCTGGTACTTATTTTCTCAGAATCCTTTTTCTTCTGTCCTTTTTCTTCTTTGTAGTTAATATAAGAAATTAGAAAAATCTTGACATTTGGAGTAATAACTGAATGCAAATTCTGCCTTCCCCATTATGTCCTAGTTTTGTTTTCTTAGACAAGGTGCTTTATTTGCACATGTTTCAGTATGCTTGCCTTTCACCAACATGCCAGAATGTTCTTGAGTAAATGATATAATATATATGAAGCACAGAGGAGGTATTCTAATAAATGTGAATTTTCTTCTTTTTTTACTCTGTATGTCTCCTGGATGACAGAACAGGATCTTTTGCTATAGTCGTGATGATAGGGCCAGCTTCATAAGCATGTGGTCTGCTTAGAAAGACTTCATACTAGGTTTAGAACAGTGTCTTCACCGTCTTGAAATTCTTTCATTGTAAAAAAGAGATCTATTATATTTACTTTGAACTAGGTCATGTAATTTGTATAGCTTGTTCTATATGTCAGGAGAAAAGTTGGAAGTGAAAGTGGTATTTTAGGACGACAATTCATTCTCTCAGAATGAGAGAACATATAGTTTCAATGGAAATGGTATCAAATTCCAGATTTGCCACAAATTTGCTTCATGATACTTGATATTTCCTTTCTTTCCTCCTTGAGTCAAATTTTAAAATTTTGACAATGTGGATTTTCTTTAAATAATACCATATTACAGGGTTCCCTCAGTTACCCTGGGGAAACCTCCTTGCCTCACCATCAGAGCCTAGGGGCAGCTTGTATTTTCTCCTTTCCCACTCTGTAGCATGGGAAGTTAGTGTCTTTGGAGGTTGGCTGAGTGTGGGTGGAGACAGGGCAGAAAGAACTATTGCTGCATTGGCAACTCCTTTCACAACAGCCCTGTTTTGTCATTTTGTACCCAGATTTCCGTTGGCTAACCTCAAACTTATCTTCCTCATTTCTATTTCCTCTTCATGACACCAAGGGTCCTTCAAAACACATGACTTTCCTGCTCACAACATAAAGCCAAGCTTTCCCTGGCCCCTACAGTTTGGATCAGCACCTACGTCCCCTCCAAGACCAAAGCACCACTTCAATGACAGGTATAGTATCGACTCGTCTTTTTAGATTCTTTTGTTGGGACAGCACCCACAGCAAGCAAAGTGTGGTTTAAATACACCCAACCAATTTTCAAGTCCTAGTTAAAGATGCAGGTTGAAGGATGAAGGGTGTCAAGTTTCTTATTGGCCTTCTATCCTGGAGCTTATAATGGTTGAGAGAAGGGATATAATAATTGCTTCCAAGGAATGGTGTTTAGAAGATAGTCATGTATAAGTTAAATGTTCTTTGGAACCATGAGTTAAGAATTATGAATAGCAGTTCTTAGTTAATTGTTTAATTAATGTTTTTCCTTGGGTGAGTACTTTCCCCAGGCTAGGACTTGGTGTTTGTGTGTCTTCTGTAAGGAAGAAGAAGAGAAGGATGGAGTTGATGCTGTCCAATGACTTAGTCTCTGTACCTCTTATTTTGAAGGTTATCAGCCAGCCCTCTTTTGAGAAGGAACCAGGAATGATGCTTGAATGTATGTCTAGGCAATGCTGAGCACATTCTGGAAAGCTGGTGGTGATCTGCAAGGTATGAATGAAATGAAAGCGTCTTTCTTCTCTAGTCTCATATTTTACTACTCAACTTTCAAAATTTGAAAATCTCATAGAAGTAAGTTAAGGAGTAGAAAGAGATCAGGCATATATGGGAGAAACAGAGGTCCAGAGAGAGGAAGGAAAGTCCATGCCCAAGGCCATACAGAAAACCTATAGCACAGCTGACTCTAATCCCAGGCCAGTGCTCTTTGTGTTCTGCCCTAGAGGACTGAAACACCAAGAAGCAAGAGGCATCCTATAACTAGACATGAGGCTCTCCTTATGCTGGAAGAAAATCTGAATATTTAAGCATGGTCCTGAGGATATGTTTTTAACCAATTCCTTTCCAGATACATGATTTTTCCCAAATGTTTAAAGATCTCCAGGTGTTTACTTCAACTTCTTTTGTTGGGCCTATGCCTTCCAATTTCCTTCATCAAAATGGACTTTTTTTTTTTTTTTGTCTCAATGACAGTTGCTCTGTGGAACAGTTGAATGGAAGATTTTACACTTGGGTGGGGGTAAATGATAGTATGTCAGATAGGATAAATGACAAACAGAACAGTGTAAGAATCCTTCAACCTTTGTCCCACATATTTATACATCTCTTCATTCTATGGGTCTGGTTAATATTCGTCACCAGAACTTGCTTTTCATCTATGTGCTCTATTGGGGCGATGTGGAATAAAGCAGCAAGGGTGGAAATAAAACCTGTCTACATCCAGCTTAGTCACTGACTCCTTCCACCAATCCTGGAACAAAATTACCTATAATGATCTTCAAATTCAGTGTACTAAGAATATTTTCTCCCTTTTATACCCCTCTTCCAGGCTTCCTGGGGTGTATGCGATCAGAAATGACATTCAGGATGCTATTGATACCTCCAGATTATACAACTCTTCTTACAGCAACTGATAGGCAATGGAAATGATGACAGAAAAGCGCAACAGTCCATTTTTCTTTTCTATGCCACCACACACTCTAATTCTTTTAACCAGTCTCCTTGGCTAGTTTTTTTTTTAATCAGAAGCACCAGTGGCTGAACCAAGCTGTATAAGAAGTTCTGGAGATCTCATCAAACAATTTCCAACATCACTGCCAGGTAAATTTTCTTGCTCCATTTCTAGAGAAGGAAGTTGAAGGCCAAGGGTGGTATCAGAATCCAGCTCTGTCTTACTCTCTATACTACATGATATATCACCACCAGGACAGCTACTTTGGCTGAGACCATACTTCTAGGAGATGTAGGCTGGATTATGAGGTAGTGAGGGAAGTTAGGGTGTAGAAAAGAGAGTTTTGATCTTTAGCTTTGAAGTCATCCCCAAGTATCAAATTAGAGTGTTCTGTTACCCTTTTATGTTCCACTAAGAGTTTAGAAGAAAAAGTAGACATTTTCTTGCTGAAAACTCTTACAAGCAAGTTTCTCTTTCCTAGTAATCTTGGGATTTTTTTCACTTTTATGGCCAGTATTTAATATAGACCAGTTACTTTCTTACAAATAAACCTTAAGAGTTGGGCTGGGTAAGAATTTCATATTGACAACATGGCATTTTCAGCAAAAGGACCTGGACAATGCTAAGGGAAATCTCAGGAAGTTCCAGTCTTGACTGTTCTGGAAGTTTAGTTATTGGCCTCATGGCTGTGCATTCAAGGATCCCAGTGCTGCCCTGAGAAATCCACTCTTATTTTTGTTCTTTGTTGCTGTGCTTCTCCCTTTTTCCAGATGGTTATAAAAAGCAAAGAGGGAAAAGTTCTGAGGAGAAGACACAATGAGATGGTATAGTATATGCCCTTTAATGCAAGCATCTTGTTGTCTGACCTTTAGCAATTGTTTTCCCATTTATAATTTCCTTATTTATAATTTTGAATAGGTGAAGCCAGATTATTTATAAGGGCACTTAGTAGTTTTCATTCTTTACTATTTATGTGAAAGTGGGGGACATGTTAGACAAGACTGGCTAACGCCACAAGAAATAGCTGCTTCAGTTCTGTTAATGTTACCCTATCCTCATTTGGCTTACTTCTGTTAGAGCAGGCACTTCTTTTTTTCTTTACTGAGGGTCAAACCCAGAGCCTAGCACATACTATATAAGAGCTCCGCCTCTGAATTATATCCCAAGCCCTCAGTTTTCTGTTTTCTTTTGTTTATTTGTGAAACAGTCATACTACATGGCCCAGGCTGGCCCCAAACCTGAGATTCTCCTGCCTCTGCTTCTGAGAGCTGGAATTTCAGGCATGCACCATCACACCCTACTAAAGACATAATTTTTTTAGCACTTGTTACATAGCAAATACTAAGCTAATACCTTTACAAACATTATCATGTCATTCTTATAATGACTTTATGAGGAAAGTATAATATTTATTATGCAAGCTTTGTGGTTGTGAAAATAGAGGTCAGGGAGATGAAATAGTTTATCCAATTATGCCTTGATAGTTAATGGCAGAGCTAGGATTCAAGCACATTCTTAAACTCAAAGTCTAAATACAGAACCTGAACACTGAGAACACAGCTTGGGAGAACTTATAAGAAGAGAGAACAAGGTTACTGAGTCTGAGGCACAGTCCTTTCCTCAAATCAGGGAGACATGATGATGACCAAATTGTTCCCTCTCACTTCATTAAGAGTACACTGAATCTTGGAACATGATATTGCTACATGCCTGGACCACCAATGTCCTGAGATGAGCATTCAGGGTCCGTCTTTTGGTTTGGAGCCTTATACTTATGTTGCTCACTTCCTTCTTCAGGTGTTTTAGCTGGCTGCTTTAGATTCTGCAGTTTTCCTGAGGCTCAGAGCAGGATTTTATCACCTCATTTTCTCTCTTTCCAGGTCCACTACTTCCCAGACAATTTTGCTGCCCATGGAAGTCCCTGGCCTAGTCTTCTGCAGTGTCACGCTCTGTGTATTTGACAAGCTGAGTTGGACACTCCATATGGTAGAGTGTCAGTTTGTCAAATACCCCAAGTGTGGCATATGCCTAGCAACTCCAGGCCCAGGACACTGCAAATAGACTGCTGGTGGGGTAAAAGAATGTTTATCAAACACCAAGCTCTCTCAAATTATTATATGGCTTTGAGGGAACTAAAGCCTTTCATCAGAGGGCAACAGAATAATAGTGAGGCAGCACTGGGAGCTACAACCCTGGGCTGCACAATGGTTTTGAAAATCCATAAGGGATATACGGAAGAAAGTGCTATTTGATTTTTTTTTTTATCATCTTCTTCCTTCTCATTCTCCTTCTCAGAGCCAGGAGACCAATATCCTCATATAAACATCACGAATGTATGTGACAAAGTAGGACACAGAAGTCTAGTTTCTTGCTTTCTGAGGACATCTTGGCCTTACATACAGCTTCTCTTTTCTTATTTCCTTGTCTCATTCTTGGAGCCTCTTTCCTATGTCTCTTTGCCTACACAATTCTTCCCTGTACTTCTGGACTCCATCAAAGTGCTGTCTTTGTGGGGAATTTTAAAAGTTCCTTTCTCCTTGCCTTGATGCTAGTATGTGCTATTGTATTTCTTATCACCAAATATGTCCTTTAAAAGTTAGTGAACGTTTCCAAGATATATTCTTGAATTCCCCACTGCATTGTAAGATTATAAAGTGAAAGTCTGTAGCTTATTAATTTCTATGTCCCCTACTATCGCCCAGCGTTGTAACTATCTAATAAATGTTTATAGATTGATGTTCCACTTGTCCATGAGCTTTGGGTATATGGTCGGAATGTTACTCAGGATTTTGTAAAAAAGAAAATCAAACTGTGCCATGAAGTATATAAGGTAGTAGCCAAAGTGGAAAGGTTGGGGGAGTGAAAAAGAGGGGGATAAAAGCTCAGGGGACAAATCAGTTTTGTATTACTTGGTTACACAGATATACAATGACTTTTAATAGTATTTTTCTAAGCCTATAATATTCTAATGCTGCATTGGGAATGACTATGATATAGAGCTATGGAACAAAACATTTCTGATATCTAGTTCCAGAGTCTAATATTCCATGGAATATAATTTGGGAAACTTCCCTAAAGTAATGTACTTTCCCTTAGCTCTGGAGATCTCCTCTATTTGCTCTTTAACTTTCCCCTGACCAGCCAGCCACCTAAATGTCAAGCCTCATGTGTCACCACATTTTTTTGCTTAGAATATTATGAGGATTGTCTTGGTACCTAGGAATTACTTAGTGTCTTATTCTGCATGGGAGAAAGTCATATTTTGGATGCAAAGATTATCTTTGGAAGCTTTCTGCTGTAATGAATAAATGCTGCTAAAAACTCAAGGCCTGAATTTCAGACTTTGTTTTCCTGTTGCCTTTAGACAAGTTTGTTTCTCTCTGGGCTTCAACGACTCATTTATGATATGGGATTGTTAAAATCAGTAATTGCATAGCTTCCTCAGATAAAAGACACTAAGGCATCCCTGATGATTCACAGTTTCTGTGGAAGGGCTGTTGTGAATTTGTGATTCATTTTACCAGAAGAATTGCAATGAAAGTTCCTTAACCCCAAGAATTCCTTTGTTTATTAAGATAAGATAAATGGGTGTTTTCAAAGGCTGTGGGTTTGAACACCGAGCTGTTTCATGAGGGAAGCTGAGGTTTCTAAAGAGTGGAACCTGTTTCAGAGCCTTGTAAGTGAGATGGAGAAGTTATCCCTTTTGGCAATTATGTGTTGCTAGCATTTGGCAATTAAGAAAATCATGAGGTTTTGATCATTGATTTGGCAACATCACTGGGGGTGAAATGGAGGAATCTTTCTTGTTCATTTTTGTATATTATTTGACTTCTGTAATCACCCCAAAGGAGGAGCAGCTCTTAGTGGAGCCTGATCTGACTCTGTGTCTACACTGAAAACATAAATGACAACATGGCGATTCCCAAGAAGAGTAAGGAAGTTGATTTGATATGAATTACATGGGGGAAAGGAAGCAGTGTATAATTGGCCCCAAATAAGTTCTTTGTAGGGAAGCTTGAGTTAAAGGTACATAAACATGTAATTGCTCTTTGTCTCTGTCTCTTTCCTCTCTTCCCCTCCCTACCACTCCTTCTGCCATGCCCCTCCCCCTCCCCCTTCCTTCCCTTCCCCTCCCCTTCCCTTCTCATCTTATCTTCTCCCCTTTCTTGCTTGAGGGGAAAAACTTTGTTAGTCTTATTCCACTCCACATTATAAGAAGAGCTAGAGAAGATGACCTATGAAGAATGCAACTACCCAAAAGATGTTAGTGGTGTTGGATATATACTCTGGAAAGAAGGGAATCACTTCATTTCTACACTCATTGTCCCTTGAGAAAGTATTCTAGATTTTTTTCAGGCTTCCTGGTGCCTTGAGAGGAGTCACCAGGTAGAGATGGAAAGAAGATGTCATGGGGAATGGAAGTCATATAAGAGCATTTCGGTGTAAGCAAAAATTCAAAAATTGACTGTGTGGGCTTGAGAGATGACTCAGTGGTTAAAATCACTTGCTGCTCTTGCTAGGACCCAGGTTTGGTTTCCAGCATTCACAAAGCAGCTAACAACTGTCTGTAACTCCAGTTCCCTTGGAGCTGACGCCCTTGTCTGGCATCTTCGGGCATTACACACATGGGTACCCTTATAAACATGCAGCCAAAACACTCATACACTTTTAAAAAAATAATAATTTCATTGTGTACCAGATGGGGCTTATCCATGTTATGAGAAGGGAAATGGCATGAATGGAAAGGTGAAAGACCTACTAATCAACAAACAATCCCTCACCAAAGAAAAGCAAAAGTATAGCTTGACCTGATGGTCTAGGCCTATAGTTCTAGTTATTTGGGATTCTGAGGCAAGAGGCAAATTTAAGGCCTCATTAAGTTACAGAGTGAATTTAAGGCCAGCCTGCACCTTAATGAATCCTTACTTCAAATTAAAATGCAAAAATAGGGCTAAGGATATATAGCTCAGTGGCAGAGTACTTCCTTAGCATGCACATGGCCCTGGGTTCAGTTCCCAGTAACTAACACAAAGACACAGACACACAGACACACACATACACAACAGAGAGACAGAGAGAAAAAGAGACAGAGACAGAGACAGAGAGAGAACAGGAGAATAGAAAGATGTGTGATCCGTGTGCCCAGGGATCCTTATCACATTCATTACTCTCTCTTTAATCATTCTTGCTAGATCCTACCATATATTGAGAGATCAACACAATTGAGTTTTTTTTTTATCATGATTAGATATTTATTAACAGCAAAAGAATACTAGAACAGTAGACTCGCAGTATAGGAAAAGATATATACTCTGGTGTGTTACGTGGCAATCTGTTGTCTGGCCCTACAGAAAGAGAAGTAATTCTGGACATAGAAGTTCCCCTGAGTTGGCAGAACAGAGCTTCCTCTGATTTTCTAGTGGTATCTGAAGGAATAATGAAAAAAAACCTCTAGTGCTTTGGACACATTTTCTAGTGTTTTGAGAGGAGCTGGGGGAACGACAGAAATGAAGGGCCCAGGAACAAACGGAGAATCTGGCTGGTTTGTGGTATATATGGCAAATTCTTAGTCAAAATCAGACACTCCCAGGGGTCCCAGGATAGGCAGAGTAGGTACTTTGTTTTTTTCCATGAAGAGAAAAAGCAGGGAAGAGAGCTGTGTTGAAAGTAAGAACTGATTAGGTAACAGGCAATTATATCAGTAGACATGGACTTAGTGGAGCATTAGTGGCAGATGCTACTGTTTTCTGTAGCCAGAACCTCATGATCCTGGGGAGTCTTGGTGATGATCTGGTACTGCTGGGCCAGGCAGGGTTCACCAGATAGCTGATCAGAGACTGGGAAGCTGGTTTGTCACTGAAGCGCTCACTTGTGAAGATGGCCACCCTCATGGTTTCTCCAGAGTTGTTCGTCTTCTTGGCACGCACCCTATGGCCCAAGACCCCAGTATCCATGAGAAAAGTCTTGGAGCTTAAATCCTGGTTTTCCAGCATCTTGCTTCCTAAATTCTCATGAACTGACTCTCAGGCACTTGCTAGACAGGGATTCTAGAAACAAAAATTTAGTAAACCTAAGTTTCCTTATGTATTCAGAGAACTGGAGCATGACCTCAGGACAGTCCTTAAGAGTAGAATTCTGTTGTGATTCTGAAGTACTCTGGCTTTAGGACCAGTTCTATGTCACACACCCCTTCCTGCATCTTTCCTGCCAATGACCAACAGCATTGAGAACAGAGAAAATGACTCATAAGATGGAAAAGGAGAGACTACTTTACTGGTTCACTTCACAGACATGCTATAGAAAAGAAGGAAGAATCGGTTCAGAAATTTCTATGGGGAGTGGATAAAAGCTAATTATGAAACCCGAGCACCAGTCTGAAGGTGAGGGACAAAGACAGAGAAAATTCAGTGTCTTAGCTTTCCAAAACTGGGAAGTATTGAGATGAATTGAAACACATAGTCATGGATTTATCAGGGAAAGGAAGAGTACACATGTTTGGTTTCCATCTGCTTTGAAATTTCTGACTTAGGACATCAAGTTTCAGATGTTGCTTGGTGTGGGTGTATAAACACTAGAGAGCATTATCAAAGATTCTCAGAAAATTCTTGAGGGAATCTTGACTGCCCAGCCACAGTCCAGGAAGAATGGTTTGGATTAGTTCCATGTCAAGAACCATAGACAAGGCCATTCCAAGAGCACTAACTTCCACCTATTACGGAGGGGCCCCAAATAGGAAAACATTGCCTCCTGGTAGCTATGGAGGAGAACTGACATCCATTCTACACTGGTTCCCAGGATTAGCCTGGCATGAAGAAAGCTATTTCTCGGTACTGCAGTCTTTTATGAAATATGGAAACACATGCACTAAATTATAAGAAAGTAAATGGGGCAAATCACAGGGTTTCTGCTTTGTTAGAGACCCATGTTTCCATGTCTTATCTCCTCTGGAGATTGGACTAGGAGCTCCTGTACAAGCAAATGTGTTTTTGTTTGTCATCTTTATATTCCCAGTGTCTAGAATACAATAAGTGCTCAGTAACTCCATGATAAATTGAATTTCTGCTCATAAGCTGTCTCCCTTAAAGAGAAATAGAAACAAGGAATTTGTAGAAGGCAAACTAAGAAGGGTTTAAAAAAGATTAGATGTGTAAGGCTTATTTGTCTGAATTCAGTGTCAGTGAGAATAGGTAAAAAGGAAAGGTGTATGTTAAGAAAATAGGCTAGAACCATATGACAGAAGGTCTTAATAGGAATGCTACATTTTGGTCTCATCCCTGGAGCTGTCAGGAACCATGGAGCATTTTAAGAGGCAAATAATATAATTCGCTTGCTGTTTATGAATGTTTTCCTTTTGATAGATCCTGGGTTTGTGGCCATTTGAGGAATCTCCATGCCTACATTCATCCTGAAGGGTAGGCTAACTGACCAACATCAAAGGTAATACTGGAGACCCTCAGTGGTAAAGAGATCCATGGTAGAAAACAGGGCATTTGTGAGTATCTATTTTTATATAGCATCTCTCACTCACAAACATCCTGTTTTCTACCATGGATCTCTTTACCACTGAGGAAAACTCCATTGTGTAAATGTATCACATTTTCATTATCCGTTTGTCAACTGTGGGACGTTTAGATTGTTTCTATTTATTAGCTATTGTGAAAATAGCAACAGACCTGGATGTACAAGCATTTTAGGTCTTTATATTTTAGCTTATGTGGTTCCTTTTTCCTGAAATACCATCCCTTATCCTATGATTTTCCTTCTGCATCATCTAGTCCTAGTTTTACCGTCTGAAAGGCCTCATTTATTATTCTAACTCTGACTCTCTTCTCCTTAGGGCTTTTTATATTGTCTTCTCTACATATAATCTTTCTGATTATATATATATATATAATGTGTGTGTGTGTGTGTGCATTTGTATTTACATGATTAATTGTATGTGGCAACCTGGAAACCCTTACATAAATTTCAAGCAACTTGAGGGTCGATTCTCTTGCATTCTTACAATGTGATTCATTATAAGGATGTCTGAGTACCCAAGATTCTTGTAGGCACATCCATAAGTCTTGTGTCATTGCTGATAAGAATAAACATCTGTGTCTTTTTATCTCTACCCTCACTCTAAAGCAAAACTTGAAGCTCATTGAAATGCTTAACACGGTACCTCATAGAGAGTGTTGGCAAATATACTTCCAGAAACAATGAATAAGCCAAAGGCAACCATCCATATTTAGTACTCACCCTATTGGGATATCTTGTGGTAGACATGATATAAGCTATGGTGACAAATCAACATGCAGCACAAGGAAATGATGAGGATAGCGGCAAAATTGTGAAGGTCCATTCCTAAAAGGTAAAATAAGACCAAGTGGTATTTGATTAAAAATGATGTCACTCAATGGTCCCTCCCAGAGGTGGATACAGTGTGCCACAATAAAAACATGTGAAGAAAGATGTGACCACTAGTGTAAGAGTGGCGTGACCATTATGGTAACTGCTTTCTGATCATATTTGAGGCCTGCTCCATAGGAAAGAATCTCATACCTGGTACCATAATCCTGGTCAAAAGACCATTTTCTAGGGAGAATATATGCCCTAGTGTAGAACCTGCTATTGCTCTTTTCATAAATGGCCAAGTTGCCTTCTAGCCATGTATTTATACACATATGCCTGGTCTACTCTCAACCTTGGTAAGAGAAGCTTCTTTTTGCAGTGGTCAGAAATCAATGAAGAGATGCACAATTGGTCAAAGTGCTGAGAAGAAGAAAGTGAGAGCTCATCTCCAAATGGAACATCTATGTCACCCACCACCACCATTCAAAGGCTCAGGGAGCATTATGGGAGAGAAGGCAACATGATAGTAGGAGCCAGAGAATGGGGAGAGGTGCTGTCCAATGATGGCTTATGGAAATGGCATAGTTATTGTACTTATTAACTCACAGCCACTGTATTACCTGCTCAAGACCTGTACAAAATCAAGCCACCCAAAAGTGCAACACAGATGGGAGAGGTACTCTTTAGACCCCACCTCTTACCAAGGAGATATTGGCAGTTGATAGCTACTGGGGCCAAGAAAATCATTATTTTTTGAGGGTATTCCCCTCATACCCCATGTACATATGGGCAATGCTAAGTGGACTTACTGGATTATCAAAGAAAACACACAAAAAGTGAATTCACAAGAAAAGGATAGAAAATTGAAGAAAACTCAAACTTAAATAAAGATGGAATTGAAAAACTCAATAAGCCAATTTGAAACATCAGGAGATATTCTCACCAGCAGAATGACTCCAATGGAAAACAGAATATCATGGCATGAAAACAAAGTTGCAGAATTGGATCACTCAAGAAAAGAACATGAAAAAAAAATTTAAATGACATGAATGGAATATCCATCTGGACAAAAAATAAACAGGAAAACAGCTGAATTATAAGATATTATACATCAGCTGGAACTAATAGACATCTGTAGAATATTCCACCTAAGCACCAAAGAATAAATATTCTATTCAGCACCCCACGGAAGTGTCTGTAAAATAGACCACATACAAAGCAAACCTCAACCTATACAATAAACTGAAATATTTCCATGTATTCTATCAGATCACAATGCAACAAAACTTAAAATCCATAAGAAAAGAAATTCTAGTAAGTACGTGAACTCATGAAGATTAAACAACACACTCCCGAGTGAGGAATAGGTCACAGAAGAAATCAAGAAAGAAATAAAAGTATGCCTGGAACTAAATGAAAATGATAATACAACACATCAAAACCCCTGGGATACATTAAAAGTAATCTCAATAGGGAAGTTTATAGCTCTAAGTGCCTACGTTTTTAAAAATCAAAGAGAGGACAAATAAATGACTTAGTGGTACAACTCAAGCATTTGGTAAAAAAAGAACAAACCAAATCGAAAAACCAGCAAATGAGAAGAAATAATAAAAATCAAATAAGAAATCACTGAAATAGAAGCAAATAAAACAACACAAATAATCAATGAATCTAAGATCTGGTTCTTGGAAAAGATAAACAAGATAGACATATACTTAGCCCGAATCAGAGATGAAATGGGAAACATTACAACAGACACCAAGGAAATCCAGAACATTATAAATTATAAGGAAATACAATAAAAACATACCCTCAATTAAATTAGAAAATCTAAAAGAAATGGATGAATTTCTAATTTCTACCAAAATTGAACCAAGAAGAAATTAATAACTTAAACAACCCATAATAAGTAAGGAGATCAAAACAGTAGTAGAAAGTCTCCCAACCAAAAAAGTCCAGGTCCAGATGGAGTCACAGCAGAATTTTATCAGAACATTCAAAGAAAATCTACGACAAGTACTGCTTAAATTATTCAAAAAGGTAGGAACATAGGAAGAACTCCAAAATTCCTTCTATGAAGACAGTAGCACTCTAATATCAAAACTAAGTAAAGACACAACAAAAAATTATAGGCCCACATCCCTAATAATCACAGATGCAAAAATTCTCAATAAAATACTTGTAATCTGCATACGCACATCAAGAAGATCATCCACTATGATCAAGTAGGCTTTATTCCAGAGATGCATGGATGGTTCAATATACATAAGTCCATAAATATAATAAATTATATAAATGGACTTAAAGACAAAAATCACAAGATCACCTCAATAGACACACAAAAGTCCATTGACAACATCCAACATGTCTTCACGGTAAAAATCCTAGAGGGGAGTGTACTGGATGGAACATATGTCAACATAATTAAGACTATATACACCAAATTCACAGATGACATTATTTTAAATGCAGAAAAATTCAAAATAGTCCTATTAAAATCAGGAACCAAACAAGGCTGTACACGATCCCTACTCCTTTTCAGTACAGTGTTTGAAACCCTAGCTAGAGCAAAAAAGACAAGAGAAGGAAATTAAATGATACTAATTGGAAAAGAAGAGGTCAAATTACCCCACTTTGCAGATTATATAATATTTTACATAGAGATCCCCAAATTTTCACCAGAAAATTTCTAAAAATGATCAACACTTACAACAACTTGGCAGGATTCACAATGAATTAACAAAAATCGATAGCTTTTCTATATACCAAGAATAGGGAGTCAGAAAAGATCATGGAAACACTCCCATTCACAATAGCCTCAAAAATTTTTTAGGGATAAACTTAACCAAAAACATTATAACTCTCAATAATGAAAACTTCAAATCTTGGGAGAAAGAGATTGAGTAAGACACAAGGAAATTGAAGGCTTTCCAGTGTTCACGGATTACTAAAATTAGTATTGTGAAAATGACCATCCTCCTAAACACAATTTATAGACTCAATGACATCAAACTCAAAGTCCCCATGACATTTTTTTGCAGAAATATAATAAAACATCCCCAAATTCATATGGAACTACAGAAGACCCCTGAGCACAAATAGAGATGCTGGAGGAATTATGATGCCAGATTTCAAACTATATTGCAGAGCTAAAGCCATAAAACAGCATGGTACAGGCACAGAAATAGGAATTTAGATCAAACAATAGAACAAAATATAAGACCCAATCATGAAAGCATGCAATTTCAGTCACCTTATATTTGACAAAATTGCCAAGAATACAGAGTGGAGGAAAGACAGTATATGCAAAAATGCTGTACATAGATGAGGGGAAGTAGGTAAGAAGCCCCAAACCTAACTTAGGAAGTATGGACTATATATATGTAATATATAGTATACAT